CCAATACAGCAGCGGGCGGCTTTGGTGCTGGTGCCGGGGGATTCGGTGCTGGAGCTAATACAGCAGCGGGCGGCTTTGGTGCTGGTGCCGGGGGATTCGGTGCTGGAACCAATACAGCAGCGGGCGGCTTCGGTGCTGGTACTGGGGGATTTGGTGCGGCGAGCGGCAATGCGTGGGGCGCGTCGGCCAGTGCGAGTAATAATAACCCCATGGGGGGAGCGCAGGGTCTTCAAGAATTTGGGCGCCACAGTACCCTAGGCCGCTACCTGCTAGAGATTGACAATGCGTACAACGCCCTGCACCCCAACTGTCGCTTCCGCGCCTTCCTATACAACATGTGCACGCCAGGTCAGTCAACGATGGCGGTGGAGCGTGAGCGCTTCATCGCCGCCCAGGCGGGTGGCGGCTGCAAAGAAGAGGACCTGCTTCGCGCGCAGGAGCGCAACCCGGATCCGCTGCGCATGTATCCGACCCCGGTGCACTTCATGCAGGAGATGAAGGCGCGGGCGGAGAAGCAGCAGGAAGCCATCGCCGCCATGACGAAGCACGTGGATGTTCTTCTTAACAAGGCTGAACGCTTCCGGGAGTTGGACGAGGCGAACGCCGCGCAGTACCGGGAGCTCATGCTGGAGCAGGTCATGCTGCAGCGCCGCTGGTACTCTGTGCTGAAGAAGGTGGAGACGCTCCGTCAACTTGGGTTGCCGTCAGGTGAAGAGAGCCGCATCGCGAGCACCGCCAAGGCCCTGAACGCGCAGCTGTCTGCGCCGGGCGTGTACAAGACGGCACTGTCTGAGCTGCAGCCGTTCTTGGATGCGGAGTCGGCGAGCGTCGCGTCGCTCCTCCGAGGTCGGCCGGGCGACGAGTCAAGCGACGCTGCTGTGACGGCGAAGTCGGGTGGCATGCTGCGGCGGCGCACGGACCCGCATATGCTGAAGAACTGGACGCGCTTTGCCGATCGTATCGAGCAGGGGGTGGAGGCGCTCACAGAGCTTCTGGAGAGGGACACTGCTGCCATGCGAGCCATTCGCCATCGCGTGATTTCTGCGTGAGACAGAGAAATCTGTGTGAGAGTGAAAGGTGCGCTACTCTCCTTAACATATGCGCATGCGTCTTCTTGCTTGATGTTGCGGTGGGATGAGGCGCGCGCGTCATCCATCGCGTTTGCTCTCCCTACGCCTCTCGTTGCTTCCTCTGTTGTTGACTCTCTGTTTTCTGTGGTTTTGTTGGGTTAGTTCAGGTGGGAGGTGGTGTGTATCGTTCACCCATCTCTCTGTGTGTGTGTGTGTGTGTGTGATTGTGCTTCGGGGTCATGGCGACAGTATGGCGCAGCTTCAAGTTCTTCGAGTCGGAGGTGCTAAAGGGGCCGCTCAACCACATGGAGATGACGTGCTGCTGCTACAGCCACAAGGCCATCTTCGTCGCGGACGGCGAGGGCTTCGTATACGCCGTGGACCGCGGCGGCAATGCGACGCAGATGGAGTTCCCCGCATACAAAGGGGCCGTGACGCACATGAAGCACCTGCGCTCGCGCAATGTGCTCGTCACGCTCGGAGACGATGACGCGCTCAACACGTGCATCATGCGGGTGTGGAGCCTGGACGCCGCCGCAGGCGGGAAGACGGCGACACCGCCGCCGTGCCGGGAGCACCGCCTCTTCAGCGCGAAGCACCCGCCGCCAGCGGAAAGCGTCGTGCTGCGCACAAACTACAACGCGGAGGTGATGCAGTCGCTCAAGTTTAAGGGGCGCGAGGGCGACGCGGCGAAGGCCATTCCCGTGACGGCGTTCCACACCGTTGTCGTGAGCTTTGATGTATC